ACACTTGTAGCTACATATCCCCTTCCCTGGAGATATTAAAGACCCGCCTAGACAAGGTCCTGTGCAGCCTGCTGTAGGTGACCCTGCTTCGGCAGGGTTTGGACTGGGTGACTCACAGAGGTCCCTGCCAACCCCGACCATTCTGTGATTCAGTGATCTAGGAAGGGCTAGACCCTGACTGGAAGGGCTTACAGTCGATTTGAAAATCAGAGACCATGGATGGGAGAAAGGATATATTGCTCCCAAAATCAATAATGTGGATTCAATGCGCAGAGAGAATAAGCAGGTTGCTAAAGTTGGACCAAAAGTCCTTCTCATTTGAAATCTGAACTCATTTCTACTCAGTACCAGTTCAGTCCCTTAATCGTATGACTGCTTTTCCTTAAAAGGCTCCCCAGTTCAAGAAAGATGAGGAGCTACTGGAGAGAGTCCAGCGGAGGGCTACGAGGATGGTGAGGGGACTGGACTGGGGAGTCTCCTTCTCTGGAGATATTCCAGAACCACCTGGACAAGGTCCTGTGCAGCCTGCTCTGGGTGACCCTGCTTCGGAAAGGGTTTGGACTAGGTGACCCCCAGAGGTCCCTTCCAACCCCGAACATTCTGTGTGTGAGCCTGGCAGCCTCTCCAGGCACAGCCGGGCCACAGCTGGTACCTAGTTTAAAAAAATCACGATAAAGGAACCCAAAAAAACGAACGCCGAAGTGAAACCCGGACGCTTTCCAGTGGCCATCAATGGCAACAGGTCTGAGGGCAGGGTCTGCAGTTTCAGCCCCCCAAGCCCCAGGTCTGGCGCTGCTTTAGCATTAGTGATACGCTGATACTCCACCAGATTCTTCCTCTTCCGCCGAGCTGTGCGCTCGGATCTGAAGAGCGTGGAGGGGAAAGGCCTTGTCTGTCTCGCAATGGTAGTACTAAAATATTAGGATGCTGAAATTTTCTTACTGTTTTTTGCTCTACTGATGATACAATAAGTTTCCATGTGAGTTGCTGTTAGAAATTCCTTCAAGTTCTCGTGCTGGGTGACTGTGAGCTAAAACGTGTAACGAGGCAATTCCCTTCGTGATGCTAAGCCAGTCTGTCCTCTCAATAGCACAGAGTGTTTAAAGTCACCTCTGTATTTGTTAATAATTAATGAAATGTGGAGCATGTCTTTAGTGGGAGGGAGCGTGAGTAAAATGAGGGGGCAGAAATACTGCTAGGTGGGTCACATGGATCAAGCCAGGGAATACTTTTTAACTGATGAGGTAAAAATGTAGCCTTGCTCCCACGTCTTGCATCCTTTTTGTTTTAAAATCTCTGGAAAGAGCCTGTGCAAGTTACTGGGGTCTTCCTATTTAGCAGAATCGGGATTTTGGTCCAGTTAAACCCATTTTTAACCTGTGCCTGGCAAGTAACTTTTCACTGCTTTTTTTCTATGTGTGTTATTGAACTCAGCTGATTAGATGCCATTGTATTTGTGGACCGTTTCAACCTCTGGCTTAGAAATATGTGCTCAAGTGATGTAGATCACTGTGTGACTGTCGGTGGAATCTGAAGTGAACTGTAGAGGAATGCTGGTGGAGGCTCCCACCTCGAACACTGTCGCTTTCCTACCTTCATAGCCATTAATCGAGTGTCTACAGAATCTGGTACCCGAAGATGACCGTTTCTCGGGACCGAGGATGGCACACTTCTGCCCTTCAGGCTTCGCGTTCTCGTTTATTCGCTTACAAAGCGGTGTGTTGAGCAGGTAGCAGGGGTCAGAGGCGAAACATCTACACAAGGATCTGTGCAGAAGGATTGGATCAGACGCAGCGTGAGGTAAAAAGGCTTTCACAAGGAGAGTTTCGGGAGTTGAGCAGAGGCTGAAAGGATACGGGGAACAGAGATTTGAGTCCGATAGATTAACAGGTGCTTTTACTGGTTGAGTATATCTAGTCTTAAGGCTGTATCAAATCATGCTTTTGAAGAGCAAGACATAAGGAAGCTGTGTTTTACTGCATTGAATTAATGCACAGGTTGACAATGTTTTTGCTCTTCTTCTTCATTTGCAATATCTTTTCAAATGGATGCAAAAAAACATGCCATCTCTCTCTCTCTCTTTCTAATTCATACTCACTGCAGACATTTCTCTTGGGTTAGTAAGTGGCACGAGTGTCTTTGTTATTTTCCTTTAATTACTTCTTTATCCAAAAGTCAGAAGTTAGTGAACTCTCTTGGGGTTTTTGTTTGTTTGGGTGTTTGTTTTTTTTAACTTCCCAGCCACCAAAGATAACAAATTGTGTTGTGTTCAGCTTCATTATCTGTTTGTTTTGCATGCTCAGACTCTTCCATCTTTCTTTACATGCCATTGTGGAACAGCAACCTTTTACATTCACAAAATCAAGGGTGTTGCAACTTCCACTGTTGTTGATGCATTCCTCTAAAATTAGCTTTCCTTCCAGCTGTTCGCATCGTGTGACATGACTTACCTCTTACTAGAGGGGAAGAAAGTGTGGGGTAGACAGACTTGGCTTCAAATCTGTTAGCTTTCTTAAAAGTGGTCTGGCTACATCGATGTTTAAAATAGGGATAATAACATTACCTTATTTCACAGAGTTATTATGCTGTTTAGTCCATCCTCTAGCTAATGGCAGAGACCATCTAAATGTTCACAGAGACTTTTGCCAAACTACCTTACTCTCCATGGCTTTTCCCAAGTTCCATGTTATCTGAGGTTCTTCTGTAAATCAGCTTGGCTGAAGAAGTAAATGTTGATATTTCTGTGTATTTTCTTGCAGATCTTGTAAATACTCGCATGACATCATCAACGGTGAGAACAAAAAAGTTCTAAAGACCCATCAGTTGTCTGGCCTCGATGAGAATGAGCTGCGGGTCCTGCTGCTCCAGAGTGACCCTTTCCTCCTCCCTGATGTGAGTTGTGCTGATTTCTTAAGAGAAGCTGTAGTTAATTAGGAATGGGAGAGGGCAAGGGAAAATGTGGAGTTCTGATCTCAATTTCAAGCTGTTAAGATATGTAACAGTGATATTAAGATTAGTCTGAATGAAGCATGAATGGGAATGGCTGTGTGTGAAAGCACCAGAAGAAACAATATAGAGCCAGGGTTGTGAAAGTTCTGTGTGCTTATAGCCAAAAAATATGACAGCAATAAAACTGTTAAACACTGAGGAGTGTGTTGCTTACGTAAACACCAGAAGGCTTGCACTTGGATAAGGCCATGTCATCTAGGACTCGTCAGCAGATCTGCCCTCTGACAGCAGGAAGCGGACAGCAAGGCTACAGCACGTTTTCCGTGCCATTCCTCTTCTCCCGACAGGATAGCGTTAAAGTTACTCAAAGCAAGCAAACAAAAAAGTCAGCAGCTTCACCAGAGGTGTACAGATGGTGAGGTAAGCAACACAGAGGTGAAAGGTCACAATAGTTGTGCATGCTTACTTGATAAAAGCCCTGACCAAAACCCAGTTTGTTGGCTCTTCAAGAGATGATGGACACTAGGAAGCGAGGGCCCCTTTGCTTTTTCAGCCTGCGTAGGCCTGCATGTTTTGGTGCTTGAGGGTATAGGGGAGTGAGAAAAATCTATGAGAAAATGACCAAATGACTGCAGTCAGTTGTGTGTAAAATCTGCCCCTTCCAAAGTACACTGAGATTTTGTATGCTAGTTTTCTGTGAAGCAACCTTTGTCCGGTTTGTATGCAAGTCATTGATTTTGTTAAATTTGGCTGAACGATCCATTCTGGTTCTGCATGTGTGTATAAGGGCAATGCTACCTTCAAGGTATGGCTGTTTCAAAGCCAACAATATCCTGCTCTGGCTACAGCTGCTCCTGGTTAAGAAATTACCAGAGTACTGCCTGTTACTCTTGTCTTTTGGAGGTTATAATCTCCACAGATCTGTTGGCATAACAGTTCTATTGTTTTCGTATTCCCGGCAGTGACAGTGCTGGGCTTTGACAAAATAGATTTTTTTTTTTTTTTTTGTAATGTTTTGAAATACAGTGTGCTGGCAGATTCAAGGAGCATGGTGGTGATGAGCAAGGAGCATTAATAATATCTTTGTCCCGCTCAGCTGCATCTAAAACTTAAGTGTTTCTTGTTTAATTACTCCTGGTAATGAGCAGATAGTAGTAACCATCATTGATTAGTATTACTCTTAAGCTCTTACCTATAGATCTGTTCAGCCCTTGCTGCTGGCAGGCATCATTAATTACCTCTAATTGAGCACCTGAACTGCTGTTATGGAGTAAAATAGCAGAAGCAGCAGAAAACAGTGGTTGATGCAGGCCATTCATAAGCCTGAGAGCTGGGGAGAGTGGTGTGAAAGCCGACTTGGCTGTTTCTGGCTTAGAAATGCTGACTGGCTGTGTGTGTGTGCTGACAAATGGCATGTGTGAAGCTCTCAAGAAAGAGGAAACTTTGGTCTTCTACGACCTGAACTGGGGTACAGGGTAAGACAAAACACAACAGCACCCCCAAATCTGGGGTTTTGGCATATTCCCTTACCTTCTCTCTTTTTGTTTTTTTAATTGTTTCCTGGGAAATGTAAGAGGCAGTGTGCTTTCTCGATGTAGCTAAATAGTGGATTCTTTATTTAGCTGAGGCAGCAATTTTTTCTGGTTTGGTAGTTTATTCTGATGCTCCCATGTAAAAATTTTGTCTTTCATATTAACATCATCTTTTAACGCATCTTCCTCTAGATGCTGTATAGAATCGCTCTGAGCCATATTCAGTGTCTTTAAATCTCTGGGAGCTTCACTTTGTAACTAAAGTGGCTGGTATCTCCACTACCCTAAGGTGATATTTTGTGCAACGGATGCTCCATACAAAATGTTTGTATTTTTAGTACTCTCTCAGCTTTTACCTGATTCTGTATTTTAGTTGCGTTTGTCTCCTACTCTCTTGAGCAGGAAGATGCAAGCACAAAAGCAATTCCTGTACTCTGGCCCCCAAAACCGGTGTCTGACATAAGTTTTAGGCTTTTTTTTTTTTTGGTAGTTCTTTAATGAGCTTCAGGCTGCGTGAAAAACTGTGCTTTCTGCTTCTGGTTTTGATTAGCAATATTCCTGGAGGAGCAAGTTTCTAGGAAGGAGAGGATATTGAAGTTAAGGGGGAAAGATGGGGTTGGGGAAAGACCTATTAAGGAAGCAGTGATTTGAAGTTTTTCTAGAAACATCTGGAGAACTATATTACTGCTTTGAGTAATAGGGACTGCTGTATACGTTTATATCATGGCGCTTAGTTTGTGCTTGGTTGTCTCTGGTGGATGTTGGACTAACGTTTCCAGCTCAGTAACTTGAACAGTTATCACCACTTGAAGAGGTGGAAAAACAAATTGCATGTTTGAAGCCTTAACTTATTTTTCTTGTTAGGCACTCGGATGAGGCATGTCTTATATGAAGGTAATACCTTGAGTGGTATCAGGCCTCCAAAATAGAGCAACAGGAGGAAGAACATCCCTTGGCAGTGATGCAAGATTTGAGTTCTTTAGTGACTCAAGTTGCAGAGCATCTCCCACAAGACTGTTCCTTATTACCTAGCACTTGTATATGTTCTTGATATATGGATCTTAGAGTGCTCTGTAGATGATAACCCTGTCTGCATTCTCCTTGGACAAAGTTGGGAAAATGAAAGAGAGCAAAATGAAGCAACTCACCCACAATTCTGGAGTAGGTGAATAATTGCTTTGCATTGGCAGGTGCTGGTACTTTTTGGATCTCGCTAAGAAAGGCACGTGATGCTTAAGATAAATAGCTGGTTACTATGAAAAGTTATAATGAGAAGAAATCTTATGTGTCCTGTCCGATGTCGTGGGCACCAATGGCAATACAGCATCAGACAGACCTCTGTAGTAGGGCTATGGCTTGCTGTGCAGAATTCCCATCCATGGTGAGGTTCAGCACCCTTGCTGTTCTTCACATTTATAGCATTTTTCTTGGGGGGCGTATGACACACCAAACATGAAACCCCCAAAAGCCCCCCAAAGCTATTGGTCTTCTGTCCATACAAAGCTGAATGTTCTAGGTGGTACACCGAGGTCCACTGAGAGCATTGTGCTCTTATGCATCTCTATAGGAAGAAGCTCTAACAAACAGTACACACAGGTTGTGTTGTTCAAGGCGCTCCGTGCTAATGGCATGGTATGTGCTCTCATTATGTGGCTGTCACTAATGATAACATACAGGCCTCTGCAACCAAGGCCTACAGGTAAACTGCCTATATTTGATAGAAGTCGTGATCTCCTCATTATAACGTCTTCCACAGTGGCCCTCTGCATTAGCTGAAAATGGGTCCAAAATTCATCTTCCAAAATTTATTTTCGCCAGTACAAGAGAGTGATGGAACTACTGGAAGAGGGAATTCAGCGAAGCGCCACTATGATGATGAAGAGACTGGAGCATCTCTCACATGAATGCAGGCTGAGAGAGCTGGTTCTCTGTAGCCTGGAGAAGTGAAGGCTCAGGGGCATCTCATCAATGTTTATAAACACCTGAAGGGGAGGGTGTGAAGATGACAGATCCAGGCTCTTTTCAGTGGTGCCCAGGACAAGAGGTGATGGGGACAAACTGAAACACAGGAGGTTCCCTCTGAACGTCAGGAAGTGCTTTTTTACTGTGAAGGTGACTGAGCACTGGCACAGGTTGCCCAGAGAGGTTGTGGAGTCTCCCACTTTGGAGATGCTCAGAAGCCATCTGGACATGGTCCCGGGCAACCAGCTGCAGGTGGCCCTGCAGGGGAATCTCTGCTCGGGTGCCTGGAGCATCTCCTCTTCTTTCTCACCTTGGTGTCTGCAGGGCTGTTTCTCACACTTTCCCCACCACCCCCCTCGCTACTGTGCAGTGTTTTGCCCTTTCATAAATATGTTTTCCCGGAGGTGCCACCAGCTTGGCTGACAGGCTCGGCTGTGTCCTGCAGTGGGTCTGCTGGAGATAGCTGTGTCTGGCACGAGGCAGACCCTGGCTTCTTCTCACAGAGGCCAACCCTGCTGCCAGCACCTTGCATGGCCATCCAACAGATTGTAACACCAATAGCATTTTGTGATGCAGCTAAGCTTAAATATATGAATAATAGCCATAACTGCAAGGGGGTAAATGGAAAGTTGCAATCTAGCTGCACACAGGAAATGTGTAGAAGTAAAATCTACAAGATATCTGGTAAAACTAAAATCTCACAGAGCAGGCAGGAAGGGTGTGTGATGGAAGCAGAGTAATCCAGTAGAACAAGCAAAACCAGAACAAGTCCAGATCCCCAAAATACATCAAAAGCAAGTCAGAGCATTCTTTGGGGTGTTATGTTAGGGGTAGAAGAGTATAAAACATCCACAATGACAGAGGGATGATGGGGAAGAGAGAAGACAACCACCTTTGGTTTCTGCTTCTGTCAGAGGCTAAGAACCATTGAGGACAGCAGCCATCAGGGCTCACGGAAATTACATCGGTTCCATGGCTTTGTATGCTCCCACATAATTTAGAGCAACTTTGTGAAGGCTAATTGTTGTGTACATGACACTGACAGGGATGAGGAACTTGCCTTTGGCGATGGGTATTGTTAATGAGTTATGAGTTAATGAGTATGAACCCAGTAAAGAGTTGTTTTGCCGTTGAAACTGGGCTGATTTATCAGTCTTTTAAACAGTGCTGTCCCAGCAATCTCTAATTCCCTATTTGATATATAAATCTATATATATTCAGTTGCAACACAGCATAAAAACTGTCTCTGTTGCTTAGAACAGAGGTTGGGAGGAGATCTGTGACAGTTCTGGTGTGATGTTGGAGCTGTCTGCTAGACAGCTGTGTGCCCTCATCAAAGCAGCTTTCTTGTTACGGGCTGCTCCTCTGTGCTGCGTGAGCGTTGCTCTGATGCTTGGTGGGCAATATGAAGGAGTTTTTGGTGTGGGACTTGTTCCCTGGGTTCAGTTCGCTGCCTATCTCTCTTTTTTGGTGAGCAGAGGAATAAAGAAATGTGCTGCTGTTTCCATATGTACTCTAATCTCAAGGCATGCTTATCATTTTTAGGCATCCAAATCTTCAATGCAGAATAAGCTTTACAAATAGGAAGTGCACATGCAGTTTCAGCTCCATGAAATAATATCTGATTTGACACAGTATAGATGTTTTTATGGAGACATTTGTTCTTTGTTCCGGTTTTGTTTAGGTTTGTTTTGTTTTTAATAGAATAACTGTAAAACTGTTGTTACGCAACTGTCTTCCTTAGGAATGCCAAAAATGAATGCTTATTGGATTGGCCTTTCTTTTTCTTGGAGAAAAAACTGTGCACAACTTCAAAACTGAAAAATGCATGAGTCACCTGAAAAGGTCTGCTCTTCTGTGCGAGAAATCTGTCTAGATTAAAGAAGTCACAATGAACATGTGCATTTAGTCACTGTTTTTCTGCTGTTAAAGCTGCATGCTGGTAGAAGAAAGAAAAAATTACTGATTCTAATGTGCTTTTGCTTTTCATGTTGTATCTATCCTCCCCAATTCTAGGTCTGCTGGTATTACAACAAAAAGGATGGTACCTGCAGCCAGCAAAACAACTGCAGCAAGCTTCATATTTGTCAGCACTTTCTCCGAGGGGAATGTAGATTTCTTCCGTGCAAGAGGTCCCATAACCTCTTGGATGCCCATTCATTGAGGCTGTTGGAAACTGAAGGCATTGATGTGAAAATAGCTTCAAACATCCAGACTATATGTGATCACAAGCATACGGAATTCAACAAGGAACTGAAGAAGGGGAAAAGTGGTAAGCAGCACTGGGTTTAAATAGGATTCTGAGTCTGACAGAGGTAGAAGCCATTCTTGCCTTGCTTTAAGGCTAAACCCCGTTGTCCTTTTTGTGCTTTCAGTTCACAACTACAAACCAAGAGAAAACATGTTGAAAAAACCGGCAGCTACAAGGAGTAAAGAACAGAAGATATCTCTGCAAACAGTGGACTCCTCACTGCATGTGCCACCTTCAGAAGGTAAATATCCAGAGAAGTGCCAACTGCTTTCAAGTGGAATCAGCTTTCCTGTTTCCCCTCTTACAACATGTACGTACTTTTTTCCCTTCTGCCATTGATCTGCTTTCAGCAATGGAGTAAGTCAAGGCTGAGTTGTGCTGTATTACTGTTGCCTAAAATACTGCATGCAAAATTGCTGTCGAGTGGCTGCTGATAAGTGTGAGTAGCTGGGCTTTGTAGCTGTTATTGCTGATCTGTGGTATCAGCAGTGGAGTGCCGGTGTGTGATGGACATAATCCTCAACACATGAATTGGGATGTTGGCAGCTTGCTGAGGTTCCGGTCCGGCAGTGCTGTTCATTCGGTCTTCTCGTGCAGGTCCCAGTAGCAGTGTACCTGGTAAGAGCCAAGATCAGTTGCCAACAGGAGCTGGAGGTAAAGATGAAGGTATGGATTGTGTCTAACCCTCCAGTCTTGAGATCGGTGGTTCTCACTGGGGTTTTGTGTCGCACAGCCCTACAGCTCCCTCTGGTAGTCGGAGTGCAGCTCGTGTGCTTACCCTACCATGTGCTGAAAGCCAGACTACCAGGCGGCCTGTGGAGGAATGCTGAGATTTCTGCCCAAGCAGCACACAGTGTGTCTGTGTGCGGTCTGGGGAGCAGTATGGGATTGATCTGTGCTGTTCTGGACCCACTGCTTCCTTCCCGGAAAGGAGACAGAGTTGTATCTGTGCGTGTTATCTTTCCTTGCCTTCTGTCCCAAAGGAATGGATGTGGCTTTGTCAGTAGAGCAGTTGTCTGGATATACCTTCCGGTGAGCGAATAGGAACTCGTAAATCTCCTGTCCTCCTGGGCAGAAGGGCTTGGCTTTAAAGCCTATCAGGTTCTTTTAGATGTCCCAGGCATGAGAGGTTGTAATTTTCAATATCAGATTTACTTATTTGAAGATAGTTGATGATACGTGGGTGTTGTGGGTTAACCCTTGTGGGCAGCTGCTTGCTCACTTCCCTGCCCCAACCCTCAGTGGGACAGGGGAAGAGGAAAGAAAGAATAAAAGCAAGAAAACTTGGGGATCAAGACAGGGGGGAGGACAGGAAGGGTAAGTGGAGGAAGAAAGAAGATGACAAAGCAAAGCAAGTGATGCAAAGGCAATCACTCACCACCTCCCACAGATGGGCTGATGCCCAGCCAGGTGCAAGCAAACAATGGTTAACCCTCCTAAAACTCCATTTTTTCCCTTTTCTTGCTGAGCATAATGTTACATGGTATGGAATATTTGTGTGGTTAGTTTGGGTCCTCTGCCCAGCTGTGTCCCCTGCCAACCTATTGTGTCCCTGCCAGTCTGTTCACTGGGGGACAGTACCAGTGTGATTCCTGTTACTGGTCTTTATCATGTGCATCACAACACTGGGTGTCCCCGTTCCCTGGGAAGGAATACATGGGTTGCAGCCAGCTCAAGCCTGTTCCTCTCTTCAAAATCCTTTTGTTAGTTATTTAGTTTTTATACTCTGTTTTGGGCTGAGCCACATATTCAGTTGATCCACTCAACTGACATCGCCATTTATCTACAGCAAAGGCCACCCTCTGGTCCCCCTTTGTGTTGAGACAAAAAGCTTCTTTGCAAGGGCCGTGGTCTGTCACACCCCGTGTTACTCCGAGCTTTATGACATTGCCCTTGGCCGTCTCCACTGAGCCTTCTTCCATTTTAGGGGTTTATTGGTCAGTCACAAAGCCCTAACTCGCACAGTGGGCTGTATGGGGGTTAGTCAGATTCTGAAAGTGCTTGACTTGGCTACTGCATTCAACTCGTTGTTATTTCTGGGACGAAATACCAAATGCGATGTCTTTCTCTTAGACTTGTATTTTGGTAGGGCAAATAAGGACTGCTCTGTTCTTCCCTGTAGATAAAAAAGATGATTCCTCTGCTAAAGCTTCGAAGGATGAAGAAGAAGAGAATTGTGATGAGATATGCTTGTTCTATGTCTGGAAGTACTGCAAACATAAAGGTAAGCTTTATAAAAAGGAATGTTATCTTCAGAGGCACTTCCTGCTCGAAGGCTCTGAGTAGTGGTGGCGTATGGAGTGGCAGTGATATTTGTGCCTTCTCACTCATTCGCTTTGTTTCCAAGTCACTAATAAACACTGTCACAACTGCAGACATAATCAGAGGAAAGTCAAGAGGATACACTTAAACCCTTTCTCCTTTAGATGATCTGTGTATGGCCTGTTTCACTCCTGTTGATGGGGGCAGGCTTTGGATATGTTTCTGTGGCAAAAACCCTTGAAGTGTTAAATGTTACACTTTCTTTAACTATTAAACCAATTTAAGAGCTGGCCTTGTGCTGTCATCATTGACAACTGGTAACGATAAGTCATCCTTTACTCCTGCTGTATCCTATGTACATCAGATAATAGCCATATTCTCTCCCATTAAGTCCTTTAAAAAGTGATCAGAGTTGTTAAAACATCTTAAGAAAACACAGTAGCTGTACCAGCTAAGCTAAAGATAAATCTAGTCCATCCCCTGTCTGGCAGTGGCCAATAACAGAGGTCTGGGGGAAAATATAAGTATAAATAATTGTGTTTTTGGGGGCTGTCCCTGAAGAGTCACTTAACCCTTGAGTTAGGCCCTTCCTTGGTTATGAGGAGTTACCATGAGATTTTCTTTCAGTGAACTTGGCCAGCCACTTTCTGAAGGACTACTCCTTTTCTGACCACCTGGTCTTGGTAAAGGATCCACTTGAATTAGATCAGACTATGTTTGCTTTTGCTTGAAGTATGGACAATAAGTTGCCCGATAACTGTTTGGTCTGAGATATTTGTGTGTATTTAGCATCTCTGTAGTGGGTTTGTGTTCTGGTAAAGGTGCAGTTCTCTTGTCAGAAGCTGCTTTTCTGAGGGGCAGATGAATAAGTTACTTTAGGGCTTGATAATACCTCTTCTTCACCATTACTTTGAAGATAGACAGTACTTTAAATAATAAATTATATCTTTTATGTGTATTTTATGGACAATAGAAATGATATCTGTCCAAGAGATACTATGTCTGGTTTTGTCTGCAGCTTTTCAAGTTAATTTAAGCACAGTGCTTTCGAGACAGGGTGCACTCCAGCCCTGTTAGCAAAAAGAAGGAAGAAAGGAGTGAATGATTCTGTTGTCTTCATAACTGGGTTTAATTTCTGTATGTTCTGTGGCCATCAGGGCTCAGGAATGGTGAAACTCCTTTTGGGTCTGTCCATGCAGCAGCTGCTCCAGTCTTGTATCGCATTTCTCAGACTCTAATTCTTTAAGACCAGGCTTGAGGCTTAAGTTTATGAACTTTTGGAGCTGCATAATGTGAATGGTGTACCCATGTGCTAGCTATGGAGGTCAGGCTCAAAGCAGCTCTAGTGTGACCACCAAATAGCTGAACTCAAATAACAGTTGGAGAGGTAATGTGCTTTGCCATGCCTTGTTTGGCTCAAAAGTTCTAAATAAGAGGTTTGGTCCATACTTGGAGGTGGAGTGTACATCACCTTCCCCCAGCAGGAGGTCTGGAGGTCAGCCTCTGCCTGTATCCGGCAACATGTGCTCATGCAGGGATGTTAAGGAGGTCCAAACTCAAACATGCAGACATATATACACTGAAAACATAGATGAAATATGTTTAGCAGTAGGAGAAGCTTATGTTGCTTTTCTAGATAAGACTGGAGAAACACACCCCCCTATTGTTTAAACATATTTCTATTTTCAGCAGTCTGTCTTTATTGCTCATACCAAAGGCCAGAAGATAAAGCCAGACTGTAAAAAATGCTTGTTCCTTTTTTTTTCCTTGTCTTGTTCTCCGTGCTATAATTGCAGAGCTCTTGACTATGTCTGATCTCGTTACAGATAAATGCAGATTTGTTCATTACCATTTGCCGTATCAATGGCAGGTATTTAATGGGGTCACCTGGAATGACCTTCCAGCAATGGAGGAAATTGAGAAGGCCTATTGTAACCCAAAAAACAGCAGGTATGGTGATGCTGGACTGCTTGCTTAGAGTACTGGGGTTGAGTCCTTGAGGAGAAACTCCTCTTTCCTTCCTAAATATGTCTGACTCCAATAACTTCTGATTGCTGAGCTTCTCGGAATCTGGGAGGATGTACAAATGAGAATTTTTCTTTTTAAAAAGAAAAGTAAAAGTGATTGCATGGAAATACCACCCCATTTTTGTCTTCTAAAAATAACGCAACAATACTTTGCATTTAAAACTCTACAGGGTAAAAAGAAGTGGGTGGAATTTAGTACTTAGAATATTAGTATTTCAGATAATGAATCCTAATTTATTTATAATAATTAAGTGGGGCCTTTTAACTACAATTTTGAGCCGGTCCTTCTTTATGGCTATTGCTTTCCTAATACAGCTAGTATCTATAATAGTAATATAGTAAAAGAATATCTGTAATGTGCCTAGAGGAATTTTATGAAGTGCCCTTTGTGTAAGCAGTCCATCTATTTTTTTTTTTTTTTTTAGAGAGTGCCTTTTCCCTTTAACTCCTTTCTGAAAGCTCGACTGTGAACCACTTGGATTTGTAGGGGACCCCAAGTTTGACCTCAGTAAAATGGTATAATCATTTTGGCCTGTGCCTCTTCAGACAGCAGATGATTTCGATTTTAGCTTGACTAGGCTGCTGGATGGTGCAAATCACAAGCAAGATTCTGAAGAGGAGGATGCTTTCAAAGTCTTTCTGCCTGAGAGTTAATTTTTCGAGCCTCCCAGGACTAAGAGCCTAGGTGGCTCCAGTGATGAATGCTGTGTACAGAACTCACAGCTGTGATTGTTCTTTTCCTGTGGTTACAGAGGGTGCAAAGTTGATCAGCTGCAGGTGTTTGCTGGCAAACTCAGTCACCTACTTGCCAACTTCTATTTTTGTACTGAGAAAAACTGTGATCATGCTTGTTTATTGCAGAAATACGCTTTGCCACATTGTACATGTAGCCCCAGACTCTCTGTGAAGCTGGTAGTGCAACATCTGGCTAGCAATTGAGAAGGCATTCAGTGTCTCACAGGCCATAGTTTGCTTCTGAAGACTGGAACCAGTTTCCAGAGCTGCCGTGCGTGCTCTGGGAAATATTCTTTATTTCAGGCCTAATTAAGTTCAGACAGTCACGTTATATTCAAGAAAATTGCACCAGCTTAAGCTGGGGATTAGAGGATAAAATACGTACTGTTAACTGTAATAAACCTGAATTTGTCCTTGCAGCATAGCAGATAAGAACATTAATTTCCAGACAATGACCTGCTCTTCTTCTTCACTTCGACGACTCTCTACACCATCATCCATCGCAAAACCCACATTTGTACTGACTACACAGTGGCTTTGGTATTGGAAGAATGACCTAGGCCAGTGGACTGAATACGGAGGGCAGGTGAGTCCACATCCTGTGCTTTGAATCCCTTCTGAAGAAACGTGTGGAGCTTCTTCCCCCATTCCCCTTTACTCAGCAAGGTTAATTAAGCAAATACTTGTGCTTGAATTTTACAGTGTCAAGTGAGGCAGTGAAGCTACAGATGTGATACAATGATGACAGGCTGGAGGGGAGCGAACACACCTTATCTCTTTCCAGTGAGGTTTAGTACGAAGGATTGTCTGTCTTTGTGTCTGGATGTTATAACTGCTTTCCTGACAAACACCTGGCTGGGAAATGCAGGAAAGCAAAACTTTTTTTCAGGTTGTGTTGATCAGACTGGTTTTGATGACGCATGCTGGCTTCTCTAGTCAGATTCCTTTTTGGAGTTGTCCACAGCTTCTGCATAGATTTAACATTTACATGCGATGTACTGCCTTTTGAGTTACTCAGGAAGCAGTCTTGCCTCTCTTGAGCATTGTCCTGCTTCCTTGGACATGCAAGGGTTGCTCTGCTCTCTCAGATCAAATGTTCCCTTTTTCCTTGGGTGGCCAAATTGTCTTTGAGAGAGTGATCCATCTGAAAAATGCAGGGAAATAAATAAGGAAGGAATCTCTTCTTCCCCCAAGGCAGATGAGTTTTCCCCATCTAGTTTACAGTACAGCTGCACAAATGGCAGAACACAAAGGTGATCCAGGAACGTGGAAAAGTAGGCAGGGAAAGATGATGGAGATAGTGACTTGTCATGGCAGGCCTTGATTTCAGTAGGCAGCTTAAATGGCAAGCATCTCGATCAGCATACCCTCATATTTTACATTGTTTTGTACATCAGAGAATTCTCCTTGCGTCATGGTTTAACCTTGGTGTCGCAGAGCAGATTTAGAATCTGCCAACCATGCAGATAGACTCCAGGGGGTGATTTTAGACTGCTGAAAGAACCACCGCCAAAGGTAGCAGCAAAAGCAGTGTTACTGAAGTAGGACCTTGTAAAAGTGAGACTTCACAAGGTCCAATGGCAAGGTTCACTCTGTTCCCTAACGCACAGAGGACATAATAATAATTCAGAGTTACCAGTACAAAATCTTAGTACGCTATAATACGAGGTTATGCGTGAAATTGGTTGCTTACTAAAGATCTGCAGTTGGTAAGGGATCTCTCGGCCTCAAGGAGTAATCCTGAGAGACGTCCGAGCTCAAGGGGAGATCACCGCTGTGCAGCCTGGTCCTTAGCAGGGAAAGCTCAAAAAAAGCTCACTCAGGCTGTCATATTTATGTCATATTTATGGAATAAAGTGGTTAGCTCGTAGTCAAATTACATGCGATGGAAAAGGTACGCATGAGACTCCCTGTACCCACAACTTTCTTTGTTTCTTGACAAACTGGTCTTGGAAGAACCACCTGCTATTCAAGTGTTAATCGTGTGATCAGTGTTCCAGTTTCCGAGCCCGTACGCATCAATGCTCGCCATGTCACCCTGTTCCTGCATGCGTTTTCAGAGAACAGGTTGGTGCGAGAGAAGTTCATGGCCCGATCATGGCCTAGGCCTTTACCTCCCTGTGGAGCCTGAACCAAACTAACACTGTTTTGGTCAAGGAGTCAAGTGCGTTTGTCACACCCAGCCAGCAACTAAGCCCCACACAGCCACTTGCTCGCTCCCACTGGTGGGATGGGGGAGAGAATCAGAAGGGTAAAAGTGAGAAGACTCGTGGGTTGAGATGAAGACAGTTTAATAGGTAAAGCAAAAGCAAAATAAGGAATTCATTCACCGCTTCCCATCAGCAGGCAGAAGTTCAGCCATTTCCAGGAGAGCAAGACCATCACTCCAAACGCCCCCCTCTCCTCCTGCTTCCCCCAGCTTTTATTGCTGAGCGTGATGTTATATGGCATGGGAAGTTTAACTCTATCCCAGCCGAAACCAGTACAACTTGTTACAGAAATTTAAATGGGAAACATGTGTGTCTGTCATTAGTAATTACGTATTTGTGTGTATGTTATGAATGTTTGGTAATCACACTTTAGGCCACAGTAGTTCTGGGTAGATTCCTCTTCAGCCTGCTCTTTGCCTCTTCTTTCCCTCTACCCCAACTAGTCATCCAGGTTTTAGTCCTGACTGTGTTTACTCATTGCTCTCCTCCCTCTCTTTTTTCCTCTTCCTCCCACACAGGGAGAAGGGAATAGTATGAACTCGCCATCTTCTGCTGTTATTGAGAATTTGTATCTAGCAGATCCAGATGCCACCATATCTTTCCAGGCTGGCTTGTATCATTACGAGCTCAGTTTCAAAGGTACTCGCTTTAAAGGTTTTCATTTACAACTACGCAGTACTTCACAAAGACGAACTTGCAATCTATCCCAGCTCTTAGAAGCTATGATTTCTTTTACCAACATTACCAGATTTACTCATTGGAAGGATAAGTGAGGCGGTGATGGCCCAGAGAAAATTCCTTACAAAAGTAACCTTCCCCCTTGATACTATACAGATTCACATAGGACCAGAAATAAAAAGATACGTAGCCTTCACATAAAGTCATGGTAAAATTTAAGTGAGTTAATCCTGTGGATGGTAAAAATAAAAAATCAAGTGTCTTTCTGTGCTGTTGGAGCAACATTTAAAGAGTATGAATGACTCTGGGGAATAAGCAAGATGGGTGCAGGTTAACAGTGCAATGGGAAGCTTACGTAGGCTTTGTGCAACTAATCTGGAGCGTATAGCATTGACAGTGAAAGTGCCACTCTTCATTAACAGCTTACGTAGGCTTTGTGCAACTAATCTGCAGTGTATAGCATTGACAGTGGAAGTGCCACTCTTCATTAATGAATGACTGTCATTCATTAATGACCTCATTTTGTGGACTCATTTATGACTTTTTCCTTGTCTTTTCTCCTCAAGAAATGACCCAGACAAACATCACTTTTAAAACTCGAAGACGGGTCTGCAGGAGACCAAAGTTTGTGTCTTCTGAAGATGTGCAGAAGATAAAGAAAGGGTAAGCGATGCTCTTGAAGTTGCTGGTTTTTCATATTTCGGCAGTAATTGTAAGGCAAAATGGCTGCCGGTGCTGGCAGTAATTGTGCGAAGAACGCAGCTGTTGCTAGAAGAAAACGTGTCCCTGTGACTGAACAGAAGCTGTATCACAAGCTGCTGGCTTGGTGCATCACCTGGTGTCTGGAATACATGTTACTCCAGGTACTGCATCTGCAGGACCGGTGATGGACAGTTGTTTCTTACAGAAGCAAATGAAAAAGGACTATGACAATTGAATGGCAGCATGCAAAGCCCAGCTCACAGAATGAGGTCATTTCCCAGTCTCTTTGTGGTTTATTTTGATTATTTTTAAATGTAGGAATTGGCCAAAGGGGATGCTGCCAATTGGAATGCTCAGAGCAGGTCTAGGATTACTAACACCTGATCTTCTTCTGTCTGCAAACAGGCAGAGGGATTCTTCTATTCCAGATCAAACCTGTCCTATCCACTGGGATAAGTCTGCACTGCCTGACTTGGGATACAAGGTATCTTTTTATTTATTTTTTTTTTCTCTCTTCCTCCCTCTTTTAATTCTGATGGAAAGGCACAATTCAAAGGAAGATGCTGCTTAACTGAAGCGATCGTAACTGGGTAGATGCTAAAACGGGACAGGAGTGATTTCTTGGGTGGGTGTGCTGAAGATCTAGGTGATCTCCCGAGAGCTCCTGGAAAAGATGCCAAATTCCCATGAACTTCATCTGCATTTTAGGCACCTATCTACATGCAAAAACAAAACTCACCAAATCCAAGACAAAAAGATTCACTGTTAAAAATGTACTAATGGCTTACCTCGGTGACTTGGTGGAGCAGTTAAGCAAAGGGCTTCTATGGAGTGTGTATTTCTTCACCAGAAGCTGGGCTGAGACCAAACCCTTTCTGTGTAGGCCATTAAAAAGCCATCCGATAATAATACCATATTGGTTGTTGGAGGATTAACATCTGGATTGGAGACCTAGGGAAGGAAGTCTCTGTATGCTCTTTCAAGTCATCCAGTACTGTCGCATACATCACAGATCTGAGCACAGACCACAGCCTCAAGGAGTGGCAGAAATCAAGAGCTACAGCCAATAATATCTAAAAACATTTGCAGTGATCTCAACAAAACAAAGTGAACCCCTGCCAGCCCAAAATCCATGCTCCTGTTTGGTCTACCAAGACCAAAAATGTGCAGATATTTTTTAAATTACTAGTTCTAATGGTATTAAGAAGCAGTCCTTCTGGAAGAGCAACACAGTGATACGGTATGCTAGAAAAAAGGCGTTTCAGTGTTAGACTTGTCCTTTTTTGTAGTGGTTTTGACCCCAATGAAGGAACAGCACATAATGTGGAGCAGAAGAGGTTTTGCTTGTTGACTGTGTCAGGAAATCGTGTGTGATGGTGACCACATTGTACTGGCACATGTACCTTGATGGCTAGGGACAGGACAGAAGTAATACCGTATTTCCAGAATTCTTTCTGACTGCTTTCGGTTGACAGAGAGCTCCATTGCTCTTCTCAGTCTTTGTATTTTATTTTCCCTGGCGTAGCAACATTGGCAGTGGCTTCAGAACCAGAAGTATCGTATCTCTTGGCTTCCTTCAGCTGGTTTCTGTTCTGCTTTGTGCTGAGTATTTCTTTTTACCCTGACTAACCTCTTGTGTTGGATTATGCCTTACTCAATATAATACCAGTATCTGGCCGTGTGTATATATTAAATTCTTCTAAATACAGTTCTGATGAAAAATCAATGGGTAAAATTGATTCAGGTCAGCTGCTTTGTACATTAGCTCCCTTCAAATAGCTTTCACCATTAGCAAATAACCCTGATTTTTCAAGATTGTAAAAGTGTCAGGTGTCCAGCGTCTGCTGAATGAACTAGCAATGAATTTGTGTGGGAATCTGGCAGCCAGCCCTTTTGAAGATTTGGGCCTGTCACATTTTGAGCTCTGTCAGAATAATAAAGGATATGGCTAATCAGCTCTTCCTTTGGCTTACCAGCACTTAATAGATTAACATAAGCTTGAATTTTTTGAAAGAATGGCGGGAAGACACGTAGCTCAGCTCCTTTTAGGTCTCCGAGTTGTGTGTACTTGGCTACTTCCCTTACTTTGAAAATTTCAGTCTGAATTGTAGTTGAGCCCGTTTGTTGGGGTGTTTCTGGAGTCACTGAGGTGAGCGTGAGAGGCCTGGGGATGTGGTGTGCAGATCCATGGTGGTGCTGGTGGTACTTGTGGGGGGATGCATGAAGTAGAAGGGTCATCTTGCTTCCCAGCTCAGTTCGCTTGCTGAGTTGGCACCTGAGAAAACCGTCTCCTAACGTGCAAACTGAATGCCTTTCGTAGGAAAGGAAAAGTTAATTCTGTACCTAAAAAGTGACAAAGCTCACAGTACCTGTTGGTGTTACAAAAAGGGAAGCCTGGGCTAGATTAAATATTTCTGTGGGACCCTAAGCTTCTTTTTTTGCAGTAGGTGATATTGGAACTGGCTGGGATTCTCAATGCATGTGGTGACCATCGTAAGATCTGACAGTTACGACTTGATGAATTCCCCTCTTTTCAGACATTGACAAATAATCCTGGCAAAATTTGCTACACTGGAAGTGATCCATTTTAAAAAGGAACATATATGAGCTAGGGAGAAGTCATCTTTGCTTAAAAAGAGCAGCTCTGTTTTGGTAACATTGCTTATTTTTTGAGTGTTGCGGTGTCTTAATCTGTAAGTCAATTAGAATCATAGTTCTATAGAAAGTAGCGTACGAAATGCACAGTGGAAACTGGTAACACCAATTTGAAAGTTGGTGTGAATTTCTTCTGTCTTTGTTTAATATACAGGGGGAAATTAGCAGTTGGTAAACTTTTTAAAGGGAAAAAAAACCAGAATCTGTATTGTCTTGGAACTTTATGCTGGGTTTTAAATTGTATCTTTAATGTACAACTGAGAAATGTGTGCTGCGAATGTGTGGGTTGATGTCAGAGGATTAGTCTTTGTGTGGCTCCTGGCACGCACGCAGAAGATTGCTGTGCTGCGGCAGACTCTGCACGTGGCATCAGCTCCCAGTCCTGTCTGTGTACTTCATAGACATTACTTCTAGCTGGGTCACTGCCACTAACACGAGCTGTGCTGCTTCAAACACCCAGGTTAAGCAGAGTTTGAGGTCTGATGTCGCGGAGTACTGTTCTTGTGCAGTCATACACTAAGAGAAATTATTGTCAGGGCAGTGACTCTTTCTCTGCCTCAGAAACTCCACTCCTTGATAGCGGGCTAGCAAAGCTTATGCTCTCTAGGATTTTCTTTTCTAGGTCTGCAGGTGAAAAGCGCTAAAGAAGTCATGTTGTTATGAAGTATGAACCTGTGGTGTTACCCTTTATTAGCAGGTGAAGCATCTTTGGGGAAATAAGGACAACCCCGTGAAGTTTTCATGCAAAGGAGAACTGGCTTCGTTGCTTGGAGGCCATCATATGATGAACTGATTGAAGTGTCTTTCTTGGAGGATCAGGCCTTGTACCACATGGCCGAGCCTCTGTTTTACCCAGAAAGGTTACAGTTCCTCGGTAAAAGATGCAACATAGCAAAAGCATATTGGTAGTCTAAATAAGAATTGTTGGTGTATAAATAAAAGATGTAACACTGAAATACAGTGACATAATTTTCATCTGGTAGATGATGGTGAGCAGCTTGAGCTGTGGTGTCACAGAGCATGCAGATAATAAACACCCATCCAAATTGTTTTGTGTCTTGTAAAGAAGCTTGGAAAATACTCTTGTATTAAACCATGGGAAATTTCATTCAACCTTGTAAAAGCTTTTTAATAAATTCAGAGAAATAATTCTTCCTTGTGCAGCTGACTTTATTCTTAATCCTTAGAAGAAGACTTTCCTATGATAGGCCTCTTTGCCAGTAAGTACTTAATGGACAAGCTGGATGTGGTGTCCAGAAAATTCCTTCTTTATTTCTATGCAGCTGTGAAATAAAAGTCCTATTTCATCTCCTCTCTAAACTCAGCCTTCTAAAATGCGGAGCTTCTCCCTGACAGGTTAAGATGTTGATTTCATCTTATCTCCTAGGATGACCGCAGCTTTCCTGCGTAAAACGTAGCTTTGATAGGTGGGATGTTGGGTGTTTAAGTCGTCTTGAGTCCCCGCTTGGCTTAGGCAGCAGTAAAGTGGAAAGTATTACCCAGTGGCATTGGTCTGCCAGCGTTATGCATTTTCAGTCAAGTTTGTGGAAGATGAGTGTTTATATTCTAGAATATTAAAGACACAGATTGCTTTGGAGGGAAAATGGAAAATTTATGCATGACATAGGCAAGAAGAAGAGCTTGAATTATGTTTTGTGTTAACTTCTCTTTGGGCAAAAATGTGCATTTGTTGATGGATTTTTAAACATGAAAAGTATGGATAAATAGACTTTGTTTCCTTTAGGAAAGGAGGAGACGTATTTGCTTAAGCAGGTATTTAGTGTAACATTCCTGTTAGAATCTTCATTGTTCTCTTATGTTTAGAAAAGTAGATTTTTTTCTGAAGTCTATATGTAAGTGCAACTTTCCAAGTTTTAATTTTGAAAAGTTAAGGAGCTATGATGCTGGGAGGTTGTATGTATTTTGTTTGTTTCATTTCTAATAGCTGAAACTCCCTTAAATGTCTGGTTACAAATGATACAGCTATCTAACATCTTTTATTCTAAATCAGCTTTATACAGAAAACTGGAATAATCAGTCGCGTTTTCTTTTTGAGATTTGTTTCGCTGCAATTTAAAGTTACAAGTGTCAACCCTTACTTGGAGATGATAAACATTTAATTGATCCTTTTGCTTTCAGCATCCTTCCTGAGGAGAGGTGATGCGTCCTTGCAATGCTGATTTACATATTAATGCTGATTTACATATTAAGTGCCTGTCCTAATTATTCATATAGCCACAATCTAAAGCATTAAATTAACCTTCATAAGTATAGTTTGGGGACCCTTCTGAAAGTATATCTGCTGTAATTAGGCTTCTGTGTGTTAACGAGCCAAGTGCAGCCTGACGTCGTCTTTTGCTGTGGTTTTTGTTTAACAGGCGGTGGAGATCAGCAGTGCGGCCGCCGAGTACAACATGATAAAGCGGCTGTTTCATCAGACCATGCAAAGCTACAGTGTCATTAAGATACGGAGGATTCAGAATCCATCCCTCTGGAAGGTGTTTCAGTGGTCAGTATTTGTTTCCTCGTCCTTCTGGGGAGGGAGTCTCCGAGAGCTGGTGTCCCCTGTCGGCTTCCGAGGAAAGGAAGGACGTTGCCAGCTGTCCGTTACCGTGACTGGTTTTGCTGCCTTAGGAGCAGGTTCAGGAGTGAAATGAAGCATCGAAGGCCGTGCTCCCAGGGGGACGGTGCCTTTGCATGGCTCCTTGGTGCATGGGGGGGAGGGGTACGGACAGAAAGGCATGGCTGACGCAAAATTGGGATGAGGATACCCCCAGTGATGTGGGACAGGGTGTTGTCTCCGGGACTGACCAGTAGCTGCCTGCCGCACACGCGTGCGGTCGGTTACAAATGTTTAGCCATTAGAGCCTATGAAATACTTGCTAAAAAAGAAGTGGGCGAGGGTAAAGCGTGTTTGGGTCTTTTTTTTTTTTCCAGTCAGTTTAAGGCTTTCTCAGGCATTTGAGTACCTTTTGCTGAATGAAGTCAGCGTTCACTGGGAAAGAATCCTGGTGCTTAACTGAGTGCCGGAGCTCCTCTCTGGTTTCCAGCGTCTGCAGCAGGACACTGAACTCCAGGGACTGAAGGCCAAGCTAGACGCCAGCGGAGCTGAGCTGGTGCTAGTGGCAATGAACGACCGTGTTCGAGTTAATTTGACTAAGCTGCTGCGTACAACAGTTGTCTAGTGTAAAACAAAAGCACAGATCCTTCGCAGAAGTATTCAAGGACTGTATGGAATGGTAGTGGAGAAGAAAAATACTGCTCAGATAAGTACTTTCACCTGCAAACTGACTGAACCTGGGAAGTTATCAGCCTAATAATTTCAAAAAGCCTTTTCATCTAGAAAAACTTAAGATACTTCAAAATGCATAATAGTGCGTATTTTTTATCCTCCTCCAGTGAGATAATGGAGCTCACCAGGCAGACTTTAGCATTGCCAAGTTCTCAGTGAACAAATTTCAGTCCGTTGCTCTCTAACTTTTCCTTTACGCAGTTTGCAAATGGGAAGGACTCTCCCTTCTCCCTGGCTCTGTTTCCTTTGTCGCTGATCGCTTCCTGAAGAATATTGCTGTCTTGGCCGCTTCAACAGGTTCTGAAAACCTGTGGGGTGCCTGGATACCGTGGAATAGTAACGGGAGGTACTAGCTGAGCCTTCTGTCTGATTCCTCTTTTGATACTGGTCGTGGCTCGGTCTGACTCGGGCCTAAGTCCATAAGGTCTTCAGGGGTGACAGAAGGTGCTGTCTTTCCTTCTGGCTCTGCTCAGCTGCTCTGGTTGCGCCGAGGGGCAGGAGCTCAGGGTGTGTGGAGCCTCAGTTCGCTGGGGGAATGAAGAACACGCTGCCTCTAGCTCTTACCCACCGCTGGAGCTCGGAGGCTCTCCTCTCCACTCTGCAGAGAGCTTGGGGTGGGAAGGGACGTTAAAGCAGAACTGGTAGGGACCCTGCAGAGGAGCAAGAGGTTGGTACAGTGGGGACTGTAATAGTGTCAGTGCTTACTTCAATTCATCGGAAAGCCAGAATTATCTAGAATTGCTGGGCAGTGGTATCAGTATATTGCTCACCTTGTAATTGTTCATCATACGGCGAGTCCGTCTCATCTTCCAAGCGAGGAGAGGAGAAAGCAGACTGGAAATCTCATCCAGCTGATATTTACATGTACATCACATACTTTTTGTCTTTTTTTTTTTTTTAAAAAAAAGTCCCTTTTCTTCCACGGCTCACGCTCTCCTCCTGTGCCTCTTTTTGTTAGGCAAAAGGATCAGATGAAAAGGGAAAATGGAGGTAAAGAAGTAACTGAAAAGCTCCTGTTCCACGGAACCAAGATCTCCTCCATGGAAACCATCTGCCTTCACAACTTTGACTGGAGAATTTGTGGAAGCAATGGAACTAACTACGGAAAGGGTACGTGGGAAGCGACTCTGTGTTAGACATTTGCGTAGACTCCCCGAGCAATCAAAGTTTTGAAGTCTTTAACTACAGAGGGTGAAAAAAAGTGGTAGGAATTGGTATTATGATCTTCCTTCCCTCTGCAGAGGACAAGGATTTGCTTTGAGCGGGGTCTTTTCACAAGGTGTTAAGAGAATTAATGTCGGGATTAGAAAAAGCCTCTGTTGCTGTAGGTGGGATCTTCTGAAGGCTCCAGGTTATAATTTGAAGTTGCCAGAGAAATAGCCACTAGTCTTCATGGCAAGGAGCAAGAAGGGTGTGCGTGCCCTCAGTATGATTGTGGAAGGTCCTCATGCTTTCTTATCCATCCTTCTGATCATAACACACATATCTGTAGTGTTTTGATATGTTTCGGTTTTTCAAAAATTATTCCTAAAATAGCAAATTCTGAATGGGAATTCTGTAGTGAAATCCTTTCTCTTGTAAAAACTTCTATGGCATTATGTAAAGTGAGTAAGAGGAGACATGAAATTTGGGTCAAACACCTAAAACACAAGGGCTTGCTCAGTGTTGGCTGTCATGGAGCTCTGAGCACCCTGGGCTGGTGGAAGGCGTCCCTGCTGATGGCAGGGGGGTTGGAACCAGATGATCTTCAAGGTCCCTTCCAACCCAAGCCATTCTGTGTTTCTGTGATTTTATGTTCCTTATAACCGTGGTTTTTATCACTTTCTAGGAAGTTACTTTGCTAGAGATGCTTCCTATTCCCACGCATACTGTGAGCCTGCGGTGAAAACAAACATGATGTTCGTGGCTCGTGTGTTGGTTGGAGATTACGTTAAAGGCAATGCAGCCTACGTTCGCCCCCCGATAAAGTCTGCTGACGGGCTTCGGTTTTATGACAGCTGTGTGGACAATGAGTTCAATCCCGCCATTTTTGTTGTCTTTGAAAAATATCAGATTTACCCAGAGTATATAATAGACTATAAGGAGGAACAAAAACATTGTATTTTATCTTAGAGTAATCGGAGCTTTTTCTAGCACTCTTTTGGTGCATTGCAGGTGTTCTCATACTTGGTGACTTCTTTCTTTCTAATACAAACCCTTGGAATGTTAATCCAAAGAATTTCTGTATTGAGGAGGGCTGGCAAAGCAGATACTACATTTGTTGAGAGTAATTGTCTTGTCTTCTCCTATTCCTCTCTTAAATGAAGCATAGTCATTTGGAGAACTATAGCAGAAAAATCAGAATCGTGGGATGGGAAGTTAAATGTTACGACTTCCGTGGGCAAATAATTGCCCATGCATTTTCTTAGAAGTAGAGAGAATTTCTTTCTGCAAACAGTTCATTTAAGAGGCAAATTAACAGTACCGTAGTTTTTAAGCAAAGTCTCACATTTATAGTAGTCAAAGATTCTTTTCAGTGCGCAGGACGGCTGTTCTTGATCCTCTTTTCTATCACAGTTCTAAACAAGTCAGTGTATGTAAGAATGATTTGCCTTAGTTTTCAAAGTGCTGCTTGTTAGTGCTGATACTAGTTTCAAGTTTAAAATGGTGAAACCAACAAACAACAAGCTTATTTTAAATCCGTGTCGTAAGTTCTCAAGTGGAGAAGTTTCATCTGTGTGATGGCAGCTACTGTTTGGATCAGAAAATTGTTGGATCAGATTCTTTTTGCAGATCTGCAGTAACTTGCTCTGTGTTCTGTAATAAAAATAGAGCTCAGCTGAAACGATGAAACTCACAACCTGTGAATAAGCAGGTACTAAAATTTGGTGGTTTGGCTGCAACTAATGGCCGTACGTATAGAAAGGCTGTGTCACAACGAGCCAGGCTTGCAAGTGAACATGGCCACGTATTTTCTCAACGTGAACATTTGCTTAACAAATGCTGTAGAACAGGAGAGACATCTTAAGAAGCATTGATATCTTCTGTGCTGTTTGTATACGTTAATTTTCGTTTTTCCAGAAATATGACGTGACTGGAAGAGAGCAGTTACGTTCTCTCGAGGCCAGTGGTAGGACTGCTGTCCTAAGACGCTTCGTATACGCGTTTTATTGCCTACATCACGTTGGGCAACTCGCTGAGAACTCGCTGACCAGTGCAGTTCCTCTTCGGGTTTTGAGGTCGATGTGGGCGATCCTGGATACGGCTTCCCTGGGTCGGTCTCTTTGTCAATGCTGTCCAACCCTGCTAAGGGTGCTTAAGCCCTTTTTTGTTACGTTACATGCTTTTTATTGTCCCAGAAAGAAAACACAGAAACTCTCTGAGAGTTTCTACTGAATTTTAATATGGGGTTTGTAAGTTAATCGAACTGAAGAGCCCCTGTACAAAGATGTCCTCTTCAGGCGGTCTAGCTGTTAAGAGGGAAACGCTGGCTGAAGCCAGAGGAGCCGTGATGTTTGCTGTCAGATAAGCTTTACAGTAACACGGATGGCCTCCCAGTTACTTGCATCTTCAACACAAATCTGTCGACCACATGTACTACTCAAAGATTGCAAGTTACCAAGAGGACGGGGAAATTTATACAACTAGGAAATGTTACTAAAACGATTGTAATTATGTCTTTTAGTGAATATAATGATGTCTTTAGAATTAAATGAAAACATGCATCAGTAATGCCTTCAAAGGGGAAGATTTTACCACTTTAAGATCTGACGCTTTTGTTTGCCTATAGAGTTCCTGAATCTTTGAGTTCTGCCAAATTTGCAAATAAAATGTGTTTTCACTCACTTTTTGCTTACTAGCGTGCAGTTTGTATGTAAATTTGCGGCACAACTAAATAGACGTAGTGAACTCACCACTTAATACTTGTGCTCAGCGTCTCCCCTTCTTCTGTGTTTCTGACCTGGGGAACTGCACAGGTGTAGTTTTGCATTTTAGTGTGGATGTTTAGCTAAGTACAAAGGATGGAATCCAGTCTGATTCGTGGAGAATAATTCTGTAAATGAACTCCCTAACTGACATACCATCAAGTGCTGCGGTAGTTTGGTTGGATTTCATGTAATTAAACATCTGCTCTGAGCAGTTGTTAAAGTCCTAAAACAAGGGGAAAGAACAAGGTGAAGTAGTAGCAGAACTACTGGTTGTAATATGTAGAAGTAGTCAGGTACTGACTTATTCTAAGGATGTACTTTTTTGGAATATCCAGATGAGTAACTTCTAAAGAATCTGACCTCAGCACTGTAGTGCTGCACTTCCCCCTGCCCCCGTAAGCTACACGATAGGCAAGGACGTGGGGACTGCCAGTGAGACACTGACAATGCCAGTCCAAAACACAGAATCTAGAGGAAGGACAAGGGAAGAAACGGGAACTCCGGCGCTGTGCTTCACGCCGTCAAAACTGTGCTGCCAGAGGGCTGGCAGGAGGTGCTGCTGGGTGGGGAGCAACCCTCGGGTGTGCGGGATGTCAGTGGGGAAGGAGGGAGGGAGGGACGAAGGAAGGGAAAGGGAAGGAAGGAAGGAAGGGAAAGGGAAGGAAGGGAGGAAGGGAAAGGGAGGGAAGGAAGGAAGACAGGCACTTCAGCCTGGGGAACTGAGCTGAAGAGGGAGGAAAGCTGGAAAAAACATACTCTGAATGCAAGAGGATGGAACGTAAAGTAAAAATGGTTCTCCCACGTAGTGGCACCTCAGCTTCTTCTGCGCTTGCCGCAGGCTGAGGGTAATCTTTTGCCCTCTGAGCTTGGGAAAAGGCACCATGTGTGCGAGGAGAGGAAGCAGGTCTTGTGTGGCAGCTGCTTTGCCACTGGGCTGAATTCTGGTTCCAGTTGTTGCTATAACAAGCCAGCTTTGAGGTAAAACCAACTCCAAGTGTGTTTTCATGATAGCCAGTGGAATTTTGGGAGCAATTTTTTTTTTTTCCCATTCCTCCTGACTCTGAGCAGAAACCCTACCTGCTTTTCTCTGGCAATCCTAGCACTGCCTATTGAGACTGCCGCTTGTGGGCCGCGTTTTTGTCCGAAAGAGCCTATGTGTGACAGTAGCACTTGGATTTGTCACTGCTGATGCTCCTCTTAGATTTCTGGATTGGCTAAAAGCAGGTTATTGGCTGCCCTGCTGTATCTGCCTTATTCACAAGCCTTATATTGTAATCTGATGAATGGCTTTCAGGGAATTCATCTGGTGCAGAGCAAGCTTGTTCAGAAAAGGCTGAAAATGCATTTGCTAAGGGCACGTTCTGTGTTTAATCCACTAACTGCACCTTCTTTTAGGCACGGCATTAGAGGGGGTATTTGTGAGCACAGACACCACTGCTCTTGACTTCTCAATGCCTTTGTTTTGTTCCTGTCCTTAAACTGATGCAGGAACAACTTCTCTCGTTCCAAGACACAGAAGGAGTTTAGAGAACACCATCACAGAATGTGTTATGAGCAGCGCTGCTGCAAATTATATTAAAAAAAAAAAAATTCTTAGCAAGCTTGTTGCATTTTACCTCTGAATACCATTTTTTTCCAGTCCACCCCTGTGAGCTGGGGTGCCAAGCAGCTCACTTGCCCACGGTGAAGCGCAGGCCAGATGCAGTCCCAGCAGCTGGGTTAGCTGTGTCTCCTCCCTCCACCCCGCCCAGACCCCTGCAGGTATTAAAGGGGGAGTCAATGGGAAGGGCAGGAGCACAGCTTCCCAGCCCCCACAAGGCTCTGGGGCTTCGGTTTGCTTCCCGGCACGTTCACGCCTCTGCGAAGAAAGATGCCGTGCTGGCGACAGCTCTGAAGAAGTGAGTAAGCTCTGGCACAGCAGCTCTCTGGGGTCTGACGTCGCCAAGGCAGCTGTGAGCGGGAGCCTGCACAGAAATGCAACGCCGTTTTTCAGGAAGGCGACGCGAGGCCTCGGAATAAGCTCGCTCACCGATGCCAAGTGTTGGCGTGGCCTGAAAACTGCCCGATGGCTGCGTACAGGTAGGCACAACATCCTCTCCGCAGGGCTTGGTCAGCAGCTGTGCATGCAGAGAAGTTAAAGAAGCTATCGCTTGCAGAGGTTCCCGAGGCCTTTATTTTGTATTTGAAAAGATCTATAGGTATGCCTCTATCAGGAAAACACGGATTGAAAACTCTTTCCAAAAAACATGCTTTGCCCTGGATTAATAAATCTGGTCTTGATTTGGAAACAAAAACCAAAAAGGACTCAAAACCAATGTGCCTGCTACGATAGCTGGTCACGATACCGCCGATGCTGTGCTACGCTTTCCTCACCGCTGAAACCAGGCAGCTGCAGGACTGGAGGGCTTCGGGGCTGCGTGGCAGGAGCCCAGGCCAGGCCGCAGCAGATGGGTGACAGCCGTGCTCTCATCAACAGCCTCACCCAGGTGGGGCTTAAACAATTCTTTTAGAGGGTCCTAAGCGCCCGACCCACTGCAGCAAAGACTTTCTAAAGAACCTTTTGATTCAGCTTGCTTGACGTTAACAGAATTCTTACAACTGCTGCAGTACCAGGCCTGACAGCAGCGAAGTCCAGCAGCACATCCCCAGCTCCCCGTTTCACAGCACGGAGCTACGGCAAACCGCCAGCACCGCAGAAGCTGGAGCAGGAACGGAGCTGGCGGCGCGCAGGGGCTCAGCACAGATGACTAGGCATGCAGGTCGGAAAAGGCTGGTAAAGTTGGGGGTAGTGCCCTGGCAGCCTCTCTGGGGACGATGAAAAATACCATCAAAGTTAAAAGTAGATGTTTCCTGATGTAATGCTGGCAGGGGAGTCACAGCCCAGGCTCAAACTCTGACGCGCAGCAGGAAGGACCATCACCTCTGCCCCTCTTAGTCCAGAAAAAGAAGTGCCACGGAGGCTGGGAGGAACGGCCTGCGAGCTGTAACGGGCACGGCAAAGACAGAGCACAAGCATCCAGGCACGTGTGTGTGTGTTTGCACACCCTCTGCCAACCCAGTGCCTCCTTTGTGAGCAGCACACGTTTATATAAAGTTTGTAGCAACTGTTCTTCAGCTGCTCTGCTTGGGTACAAAAAGGAGAGCTTCCAGCAGTCAGCATCATCCTTGGTCAAGTTCTTCCTCTGCTTGTTCTTCCTCACCTAT